CCCCCTGGGCTCCCTGCAGGAGGCACTGCTGAGCACTGCTGAGCACCTCTCTCCCCCTGGGCTCCCTGCAGGAGGCACTGCTGAGCACTGCTGAGCACCTCTCTCCCCCTGGGCTCCCTGCAGACAGCACTGCTGAGCACTGCTGAGCACCTCTCTCCCCCTGGGCTCCCTGCAGACGGCAATGCTGAGCACTGCTGAGCACCTCTCTCTCCCTGGGCTCCCTGCAGACGGCACTGCTGAGCACTGCTGAGCACCTCTCTCTCCCTGGGCTTTCTGCAGACGGCACTGCTGAGCACTGCTGAGCACCTCTCTCTTCCTGGGCTCCCTGCAGACGGCACTGCTGAGCACTGCTGAGCACCTCTCTCCCCCTGGGCTCCCTGCAGACGGCACTGCTGAGCACTGCTGAGCACCTCTCTCCCCCTGGGCTCCCTGCAGACGGCACTGATGAGCACTGCTGAGCATCTCTCCCCCTGGGCTCCCTGCAGACGGCACTGCTGAGCACTGCTGAGCACCTCTCCCCCTGGGCTCCCTGCAGACGGCACTGCTGAGCACCTCTCTCCCCCTGGGCTCCCTGCAGACGGCACTGCTGAGCACCTCTCTCCCTGGGCTCCCTGCAGACGGCACTGCTGAGCACTGCTGAGCACCTCTCTCCCTGGGCTCCCTGCAGACGGCACTGCTGAGCACTGCTGAGCACCTCTCTCCCCCTGGGCTCCCTGCAGACGGCACTGCTGAGCACCTCTCTCCCTGGGCTCCCTGCAGACGGCACTGCTGAGCACTGCTGAGCACCTCTCTCTCCCTGGGCTCCCTGCAGGACGGCACTGGCTGAGCACTGCTGAGCACCTCTCTCCCTGTGCTCCCTGCAGACGGCACTGCTGAGCCTGCTGAGCACCTCTCTCCCCCTGGGCTCCCTCAGACGGCAACTGCTGAGCACTGCTGAGCACCTCTCTCCCCCTGGGCTCCCTGCAGACGGCACTTACTGAGCTCTGCTGAGCACCTCTCTCCCCTGGGCTCCCTGCAGACGGCAACTGATAGCACTGCTGAGCATCTCTCCCCTGGGCTCCCTGCAGACGGCACTGCTGAGCACTGCTGAGCACCTCTCCCCCTGGCTCCCTGCAGACGGCACTGCTGAGTCACCTCTCTCCCCCTGGGCTCCCTGCAGACGGCACTGCTGAGCACTGCTGAGCACCTCTCTTCCCTGGGCCTCCCTGCAGACGGCACTGCTGAGCACTGCTGAGCACCTCTCTCTCCCTGGGCTCCCTGCAGACGGCAACTGCTGAGCACTGCTGAGCACCTCTCTCTCCCTGGGCTCCCTGCAGACGGCACTACTGAGCACTGCGAGCACCTCTCTCCTCCCTGGGCTCCCTGCAGACGGCACTGCTGAGCACTGCTGAGCACCTCTCCTCCCCCTGGGGCTCCCCTGCAGACGGCACTGCTGAGCACTGCTGAGCACCTCTCTCTCCCTGGGCTCCCTGCAGACGGCACTGCTGAGCACTGCTGAGCACCTCTCTCCCCCTGGGCTCCCTGCAGGAGGCACTGCTGAGCACTGCTGAGCACCTCTCTCCCTGGGCTCCCTGCAGACGGCACTGCTGAGCACCTCTCTCCCTGGGCTCCCTGCAGACGGCACTGCTGAGCACTGCTGAGCACCTCTCTCTCCTGGGCTCCCTGCAGACGGCACTGCTGAGCACTGCTGAGCACCTCTCTCCCTGGGCTCCCTGCAGACGGCACTGCTGAGCACCTCTCTCTCCCTGGGCTCCCTGCAGACGGCACTGCTGAGCACCTCTCTCCCCCTGGGCTCCCTGCAGACGGCACTGCTGAGCACTGCTGAGCACCTCTCTCTCCCTGGGCTCCCTGCAGACGGCACTGCTGAGCACTGCTGAGCACCTCTCCCCCTGGGCTCCCTGCAGACGGCACTGCTGAGCACTGCTGAGCACCTCTCTCTCCCTGGGCTCCCTGCAGGAGGCACTGCTGAGCACTGCTGAGCACCCTCTCTCCCCCTGGGCTCCCTGCAGGAGGCCTGCTGAGCACTGCTGAGCACCTCTCTCCCCCTGGGCTCCCTGCAGGAGGCACTGCTGAGCACTGCTGAGCACCTCTCTCCCCCTGGGCTCCCTGCAGACGGCACTGCTGAGCACTGCTGAGCACCTCTCTCTCCCTGGACTCCCTGCAGACGGCACTGCTGAGCACTGCTGAGCACCTCTCTCTCCCTGGGCTCCCTGCAGACGGCACTGCTGAGCACTGCTGAGCACCTCTCTCTCCCTGGGCTCCCTGCAGACGGCACTGCTGAGCACTGCTGAGCACCTCTCTCTTCCTGGGCTCCCTGCAGACGGCACTGCTGAGCACTGCTGAGCACCTCTCTCCCCCTGGGCTCCCTGCAGACGGCACTGCTGAGCACTGCTGAGCACCTCTCTCTCCCCCTGGGCTCCCTGCAGACGGCACTGATGAGCACTGCTGAGCATCTCTCCCCCTGGGCTCCCTGCAGACGGCACTGCTGAGCACTGCTGAGCACCTCTCCCCCTGGGCGCCCTGCAGACGGCACTGCTGAGCAGCCTCTCTCCCCCTGGGCTCCCTGCAGACGGCACTGCTGAGCACCTCTCCCCTGGGCTCCCTGCAGACGGCACTGCTGAGCACTGCCTGAGCACCTCTCTCCCTGGGCTCCCTGCAGACGGCACTGCTGAGCACTTGCTGAGCACCTCTCTCTCCCTGGGCTCCCTGCAGACGGCACTGCTGAGCACTGCTGAGCACCTCTCTCCCTGGGCTCCCCTGCAGGACAGGCACTGCTGAGCACTGCTGAGCACCTCTCTCCCTGGGCTCCCTGCAGACGGCACTGCTGAGCACTGCTGAGCACCTCTCTCCCCCTGGGCTCCCTGCAGACGCACTACTGGAGCACTGCTGAGCACCTCTCTCCCCCTGGGCTCCCTGCAGACGGCACTAGCTGAGCACTGCTGAGCACCTCTCCCCCTGGGCTCCCTGCAGACGGCACTGCTGAGCACTGCTGAGCACTCTCTCCCCCTGGGCTCCCTGCAGACGCAACTGATGAGCACTGCTGAGCAGCTCTCCCCCCTGGGCTCCCTGCAACGGCACTGCCCCTGAGCACCTCTCCCCTGGGCTCCCTGCAGACGGCACTGCTGAGCACCTCTCTCCCCCTGGGCTCCCTGCAGACGGCACTGCTGAGCACCTCTCTCCCTGGGCTCCCTGCAGACGGCACTGCTGAGCACTGCTGAGCACCTCTCTCCCTGGGCTCCCTGCAGACGGCACTGCTGAGCACTGCTGAGCACCTCTCTCTCCCTGGGCTCCCTGCAGACGGCACTGCTGAGCACTGCTGAGCACCTCTCTCCCCCTGGGCTCCCTGCAGACGGCACTACTGAGCACTGCTGAGCACCTCTCTCCCCCTGGGCTCCCTGCAGACGGCACTGCTGAGCACTGCTGAGCACATCTCTCCCCCTGGGCTCCCTGCAGACGGCACTGCTGAGCACTGCTGAGCACCTCTCTCTCCCTGGGCTCCCTGCAGACGGCACTGCTGAGCACTGCTGAGCACCTCTCTCTCCCTGGGCTCCCTGCAGACGGCACTGCTGAGCACTGCTGAGCACCTCTCTCTCCCTGGGCTCCCTGCAGACGGCACTACTGAGCACTGCTGAGCACCTCTCTCTCCCTGGGCTCCCTGCAGACGGCACTGCTGAGCACTGCTGAGCACCTCTCTCCCCCTGGGCTCCCTGCAGACGGCACTGCTGAGCACTGCTGAGCACCTCTCTCTCCCTGGGCTCCCTGCAGACGGCACTGCTGAGCACTGCTGAGCACCTCTCTCCCTGGGCTCCCTGCATACGGCACTGCTGAGCACCTCTCTCCCTGGGCTCCCTGCAGACGGCACTGCTGAGCACTGCTGAGCACCTCTCTCTCCCTGGGCTCCCTGCAGACGGCACTGCTGAGCACTGCTGAGCACCTCTCTCCCTGGGCTCCCTGCAGACGGCACTGCTGAGCACCTCTCTCCCTGGGCTCCCTGCAGACGGCACTGCTGAGCACTGCTGAGCACCTCTCTCCCCCTGGGCTCCCTGCAGGAGGTGCTTGTCCCATGACTTGTCCTTCTGCTTCATGTCTAAGAGACCCTGTGGTCACCCGCACTCGGTGCCACCCATTAAAGTAACATCAGAGCTTAATGATCATAGTTCCGCAGTGGTTGTAGACGATCCTTCTCCCCTTAATCATATTTCTTACCTTCAAAATGTGCACAGTTAGGGTTTTAAATCACGCACAACTGCAGTTGTAGAAACTGATGTCCGTGATTTCCACTTGACATTTCCAAGGCCTGCCTTTGCGCCCCCCTGCAGTCTATGGGTTGATGTGGGGTATTTTGATTCTTTTGCCTTAAGTTTATAGACCACAAAATTATCATTTTTTTTTTCTTGACATGTACAGTTAGAAAACCAAACTTTCAGGAGACATGAATAAAAGACACCAATATCTAAATTCAAAATCAAATATTTTTAATAATATTTCTCTTATTGTTTTAATTGTATATGTGCCAAAATATCAGCAGAGACTCTTATACCTTAGTACTTTAATCTTTACAGTGAAAATATTCTTGTAGGCTCTTGTTCACAGAAACTGGTTCTGCTGGTACCATGGTGGTTTGAAGGTCACAGGATGACTTTGACTAGTGAAGAATGTGACCTCTCTTAATTTAACTTCAGTGTTAGAGTTACCATCTGAGTAGACTTTAATGAGTGAACAATGTCACTCTTTCTGTTTTCAAAGAATATTAATACATATTCTAATGTTATATGTAGGTAAATTTGTATTACTTCAGAAATCATTGGAGTTTTTCAAAGGTTGTTTTAGAAACAGATTAGGTTTTCTTGAACAAATCGAATTAAATATGCTGTTGGATACATTTATATAAAATTAAATGGTATGATAATATTTTCCATCAAAATTATTAATTAGAAAGTATTATCTCTGTGCTTACCTTTTAAAGTATCTCTGTAAGGACCACTTTCGTGTTTTTGCAGGTACTGTAATAGGTGTTGTCATTTATACTGGAAAAGAGACTCGAAGTGTAATGAACACATCCAATCCAAAAAATAAGGTAGGCTAGATTAAGGAGCAACTGCTTTCATGAACTTGCTTTTTCCTTTCAGTAAGAAAGTACATGTAGTTCTGAATAGCCCACTCATTTTCGCTGAATACATAACATAAAACAAATTTCAAAAATGTTGATTTAGGATATGAATTCTCTGTATTTTTATGTCACAACACGCTAATACAGAAGAATTTCCAAAAGTATCTTTTCTTGGTTAATCAGTTTTATATGTCTCTCAAATTTTTCATTGTTGGATATATAATTTGCCCATAATTTGACAGTTAATTGTGGGTCTCTTCTCTTCGATCTATTTTTTTACAATTTGCACTCTTTGTTTTTATGTTGATTCATTTTAAAATAAAGGAATCTGCATTGTTTTTAGAGTACTTAGATTGATAGTGTTACATTGTTAACCTAGTTCACATGAATTCTTTACATTTTAGAAGAAGTATATTAAAAACTAGACTTTAGTTTTAAAAATTGCTTGATTATATTTCTAAATTGATTATATTCCTGTTTATATCCCTAAAATTGTCATTTATCCAGTCAACGTGTATGCAGGTTAAATCACCTAAAGTTTATATAGGTGACCTTTCCCAGGTTTATGACCACAGGTAAGAACTTAGAGCTGGAGGCTGGCTGCCTGGCTCCTAGTCCGGGCACTGCCGCTAACCAGCTTTGACTGAATCCTCTGCTTACGACTCAGTGAATGTCGCCTGTCATTCTCATCTTCCTGTAAAGTGAAATGTCAAGTGTTGATGGGCCATAGGGTTCGAACCCCACCCTGCATGTCGGTCAAGAGGTCCTCACGGAGTAAGTGGTGGTCGGACTCTGGGCTCCGCCCGGCCCTCCAGGCCCCCGGGAAGCCCGTCTGTGGCCCTCGGCCCGCGGCCCTGGGCCGTCGGCGCTCTCCCCCGACCTTCCCACACCGCCTCCTCGACTTCCCTGGTGTCCGCAGGCAGCACCTCGCGTAGCATCTTCGGAGCTTCGCGCGTGGATTCAGATCCTCGCCTTGCACTGCAGCCGCACCCGAGGGCGAAGGTGCTCTTCCGGCAGGGGGCGCCTTCCTGCTCTGCAGGTGCCGCTCCGCAGCCCTGGTAGAGCCGACCGCTGCGGCGAGGCTGGGTGCTCGTGCGCGCGCACGCACCGCTCGCGCACGCGCACGCATGCGGTGCGGTGCCGAGCACTCACGTGAGGTCGGTCCCGAGGCCGAAACACAGGCTCCAGCGCGCAGGTCGCAAAGCAGGAGCAGCGCCGGGCCTGTGAGCCGCTGCCCGCCCCTGCTCCCTCCCTGCCCGCCGCTGCTCTCCCTGCCCGCCGCTGCTCTCCCTGCCCGCCGCTGCTCTCCCTGCCCGCCGCTGCTCCCTCCCTCCCCGCCGCTGCTCCCCCTGCCCGCCGCTGCTTCCTCTGTGCCCGCCGCTGCTCCCTCTGTGCCCGCTGCTGCTCCCTCCCTGCCCGCCGCTGCTCCCTCCCTGCCCGCCGCTGCTCCCCCCTGCCCGCTCCTGCTCCCGCCGCTGCTCCCTCTGTGCCCGCCGCTGCTCCCTCTGTGCCCGCCGCTGCTCCCTCCCTGCCCGCCGCTGCTCCCTCCCTGCCCGCTCCTGCTTCCGCCGCTGCTTCCTCTGTGCCCGCCGCTGCTCCCTCTGTGCCCGCTGCTGCTCCCTCCCTGCCCGCCGCTGCTCCCTCCCTGCCCGCCGGTGCTCCCCCCTGCCCGCTCCTGCTCCCGCCGCTGCTCCCTCTGTGCCCGCCGCTGCTCCCTCTGTGCCCGCTGCTGCTCCCTCCCTGCCCGCCGCTGCTCCCTCCCTGCCCGCCGCTGCTCCCCCCTGCCCGCTCCTGCTCCCGCCGCTGCTCCCTCTGTGCCCGCCGCTGCTCCCTCTGTGCCCGCCGCTGCTCCCTCCCTGCCCGCCGCTGCTCCCTCCCTGCCCGCTCCTGCTCCCGCCGCTGCTTCCTCTGTGCCCGCCGCTGCTCCCCTCCCTGCCCCTGCTCCCCCCTGCCCGCCGCTGCTCCCCCTGCCCTCCCCTACTCGCCCCTGCTTCGAGGCCTGTGCGCAGCGGAGCCCCGCGTCACGTGGGAGCACCGTGTGAATTAAGGGATGGTCTTAGGAGAGAAATGAAGTATCTAAATTTGCACACGCCATTTCATTTTTCTAAGTGTTAAATGCCAGATTTTTAAAAAATCAGGAAACGTTTACAGGCTACAGCGGACAGAAAGCAGCACATGTGATTTATCCAGCGGGTGCGGACACGTGCTGAATGGAAAGAGCCGTGCCTGAGCCCCCAAGCAGGGAAGGGAGACACATTATTATGCACTGTTCGTGTGGCATTGTCGTCTGAAGACTGCTCTCACTGTTCTGACATAGCTTAGCAAGCCAACAAACTTTGGATTTCAAAGAAGGCTAGTGGGAATAGAGAGTAAACATTTCATAGGGAAATGCAATCATTTACTCAAGTTTGTCTGGACTTCTGCAGGGAAGCAAACCTATACCTGAGGCTCAACTCTGAGAGCTGTGGTGTGGGCGGGGCGGAGGCGGGGCCTCCATCGAATGGGTGGTCAGGTGAGATTTCTCCTGGAGTCCACCTTTGTGACTAAGCCATGTCCCTGTCTGGCTGAGACACAGGCTTCCCTGAAGTCACACTGGCTACTGGGCACATGTCTGACACATTGGCAGGTGCTCCACTCGTCATGGCCTCTGGGCGTGCCTGGAAACTCTCTTCCCGGTCCCTGACCTCACAGCTTCTGCCAGTGCACCCTGCAGGCCCCTGTCCCTAGAGCAGTTTAATGGCCTCATGTAAGTTCAAAGACTCAGGAAAGTATGGACCTACCTTCCCCTCCCCCGTGCAGGAGGAAGATCTGACTACTCAGTGTACTCGTGGTGAGAGTCTCCAGTTAAGAAAAAGGAACCTCATAGAACCCAGGTGCAAGGAGTTAGGGTGGTAAGCAGAAGGGCAGCCAGGAAAGTTGGGGGAAGAAGGCATTTGCAGAGGTCGGTTGCCAGCGCCACTCTGGTGCTGCGGAGGTGAAGGGACAGGACCCGTGTGGAGAGGCCATGTGTGGTGCCCTGGGCAGGGCGCTGATGGGACAGCATTGCGTAGGCTTCTCGGGGCACCAGACGCAGGGCAGATGCGAGCACCCCTTCAAGGTCAGGGAAGACAGAGCAGGCTTGGGGTGGGGGTCCAGGCACAGGGGACACCGTGGTGGCTCCAGAGAAGGGTTTCATTGATTTTGTTTTTGTGGTGAGAAATCAGTATCACGAAACTATTAATGCTTTTAGTAAAAGAAGAGAGGGTCTTATTTTTTAAAGAAGAAAAAATATTCTACAGAAAAATAAGTTCCATGGGCATCCAGGAGTAACTTAAATATATAAACAAACAATTACTTAAAACAAAGTTGTTGTATACTGTTACATGGAGAGTAGCTGCCATACGAAACACACCGTCTTTGGTATCAGTCAGTCTCTCCCACCCCCCCACCCCTCTTTCGAGCCCTGTTTCATTTATTTGCTACTTTCATTATCAGCGTGTATAAGAGGGACATGCAAATTCAGAACATGGCTCTCGAAGTCCTGGGGTAACACAGAGCGGGGCTGCTTGCAGGGAGAGCTGTGCAGGGCTGGAGGTGGTGGGCCCCCTGCAGAGGGCGGTAGCCTCGCAGCGCAGGCCTGTGTTTCTAGCGACCTGCAGACCCGCTTGGTGCTGGACCTTCGATCTCAGCAGAGCTGGTAGCAGGTGCGTGGTTTCCTGAGGCCAGTTTTCAGGAGCCCAGAGTGGAGAGAGTGTCTGGTCTGAAGTGGCAGGTGGGCCCTGGCCGGTTTGGCTCAGCGGTTCGAGCATCGACCTGTGGTCCAAAAAGACCCAGGTTTGGTTCCTGCTAAGGGCATGTACCTTGGTTGCAGTTTGTCCCCGGGCCTGGTTGGTCGTACAGGTGGCAGCCACTCGATGTGTCCCTTTCACATCGGTGTTTCTCTCTCTCTCTTCCTCTCTCCCCCTCCCACTCTATCTGAACAAAAAATGGAAAAATGTCCTCGGGTGAGGATCAAAAAAAAATTAAAGTGGCAGGTGGTCAGGGGAGTCAGGTGATGTGACCACCCACAGATCCCTGGGCTCAGGTCAGCAGAGGGCCCTGTGGGCAGGTGCGAGATGCCAGAGCACTCAGGACGCATACCCGCTGTTCCCAGGATCTGTGTCTGGGGAGCCACCAGCCTTTCTTGCTGTCGGGCGGGCGTGAGTGTGTGTTACTCCCCACCGATGCAGGGTTTGTTGAGACCAGCATTTGTACTTTTTAAACTGTCCTCCTAGATTGAGCAGATAGATGGGTTGTTGATTGTTTCATAAAACACATGTTTGAACTTGTCATTCTACTTGACTGATGTCCCGAGCCTTATTTTGGCCAATTCTCTCTTTGTCTTTATTTCGTTCTCCTCTAGCTGCCTTTTAAAAGAAAACCTCAAACAGAAAAATGTACTTATGTACCTAAAACCTAGGGTTAACAGATATTATACCACTGTATTCCAAGTGTGCATTTTTAAAACATAGAAATTAAGGTTCTTTCTCTAGCTTCTGCCTTAGCCACCTCTTTCTCTGACACGTGGCCTGCACAGCCTTGTCTCGTGCTCAGGTGGGTGGTCCTGGTTGGTGACGGCAGCTTCACATCTCCGTTCACAGCCCACCTGAGTCAGGAATTGATGGTGGGAATCCTAACACATCCTGGAGACTGAGAGCCACTGTCCCCTTCAGTCACCACTAAGACACACAGGGAGTCCCTGCATAAGTTCATTCAGCTGTAACCAGTTCCAGGGACTCTGACAGGTGTCCCACTTGAGTGCACCCTTGTGGTTGGTCTTTGAAACAGGATCTTGACTCCAACTTTGTGGTTGTAGACCATCAAAATATGCAGCTTTATGCTGTTGCAGAAGTGTATTAGAACTTCTCCTTAAGTGTGCGTGGGGCCTCCAGACACGGGCTAAGAGCACACCTCGTCTTGTTAGGTGAGGAGCGTGCTCAGGCAAAAGC